AGATTGTATATGCACATATGTATGTTTCACTGAGTACCTGGTATGTGCCAGGCACAATGCATGGTACTTTGCATATATCTTTTATGTAAGGAATCTAGGGCTATATGATATAAGACATTAAATAATTAGTACAAATCCACACATCTAATAGTGACTGAACTTGGATTTGTACACAGTTCAATCTACTGAACCATAATGGTTGGAACATGAACTCTATGCATTTCAAAGAATGTACATTTTTATTAAGAGAAGATTCTATCTGTGACTTTGATTCCTAACACATAATATAATAAAAGGCTTAGAAATCACAGAGAACAGAATGCTTATGAAGTCATATATTCAAAGAGTTTACACAGATTGAGGTTCTTAAAAGTAAGATCCATGTTTTTTTAATTCTGTACCCCCATTATTCAGCATGATATTAATGTAAGTGTCCATGTAATCAATAAATACTTATTGATAGGCAAGTTTAATACCATTTAGTGTATTAATCTAAATCAAAGAATCAAAAATATCATATAAATTCAAAAGTTGAGTAACACATATAATCTTTCAGATTTGCTATTTCATTCTTAAATAATTATTACAAGATTGTATGTCATTACAGAGGATGATTACAAAGGTTAATGGTTACTCAAATGTTTTCTGGATGTTTTATTCATTATAATTTTGACTTTTTTAAACCTCTTATTCTAATTGTTTCAACATCATAAATGTGGAGATTTTTTTTTATATTCCGAGTCTGTTATAAAATGACCAGGCCATATTTCAGCCAGTTTAATGTATGGTGTAGAATTGATATATTATTTTTTATTAGATTGGTTATTTTTTTTAAATGTTAACTTTTTCTGGAGAAATTTTAGAAAAGTAAAGATTATAGAATTTTTAAAGTGTACTTTGAAAATTACAGAAAAATAGAAATAAAACAAACAAATAAATAGAACCCATAATTCCAAATGAAGAATTATGTGTTCAATGGTACCACCTAACATTTTAAGGAATAACAGGCTGTAGCAACAAAGTGCTAAATGACCAGCTGTTCATAGGTTCATAGACAGCGACTTTACATCTTAATTCCCTCATTTGCAATCACACAGGCTCATAAGAGTGGGATTCTAACTCAGAATAAGAAGAAAAAAGCACAACATGAATTTCATGTTCAACAGATGAACTAAAATGTGCCTATAAAAATCAATTACTGAATCATATCTCATTAATAACAACATCTACAGTTAAGAAAGTCTTCAGAGTCCCACAACCTTCACATGATGTGCTAGTTCTCAAACTTTTATCTGCCCCAATGTCTTAAAAAGACACTACTCATTCCTGTCAGTAACACTGACCCCTTAGAGCAGAACTGGAGAGGGAGGTTGAGCTTCTTCCCAAATGTGCTTTTGTATAACCCCACTTCTCTTGAGCATTATTGAGACAGTATTTTGCCTTACTAAAACTATAATGTAATTTACTTGCATTAAATTATGTTTCATTATCAATAACCATCCTCTCTGAGCAGTTATCATATTGCAGAATAATTAGGTGTCAATTCAAACCTTAAAGAATTTTCCTAAAGCCAGATAATCCAGCCCATCGGAGCAGTTAAACACGACACATTGTTTGGCTACAGCTTTTGCCAAGTCTTTGGTAGTTTCAGTCTTTCCGGTGCCAGCTGGGCCTTCAGGTGCGCCCCCAAGGTGCAAGTGAAGGGCTCCAAATAAGGTTCTGAAATATAAGAAATAAACAATCTTTGTAGAATAATATGATATTTTCATATACACCCTAAAAAAAAGGAAAAGTTTCAACCGAGAACCAAATTTTCCATTTCCTCTTCAATAATTTTTTTCTTTCCACTAACCTCTGAAAATCTTTGTGCATTACTCTACCTGTTAATTACACTTTATTTCTTAATAGCTGTATATATGACAAAATCTAAACAAATCCACTTCTGAAATTCAGTTCTGACTTCTGGTGAATATGGAGAATTTGGCTGACCCTGAGCCACCCAATCCTCCTGACTGCAAGCATATGAAGATGCTACATAAAAGAGAACAAATAATAACTTTTCAAATACATGGCCATTTTTGAAAGAATAAGAAGAAAATCACCAATAAAGAGGGAATGAAAATCTGGAAAAGCAATTAGGTGCTAAAGCTATAGAGGTACATATTGCTTTGGTATTTGCATATCACAAATGTATACACATCCATACAGAAACAGGGAAAAAACCTCAGAACTGAGCAAGGTGAGGAGCTGAAATGGATCCACCTATAATACCTAGAAGGCCACATTTTCTCGAAATGGGAACTAAAGTTACTCCAGAGAGACAAAAAAAAGAGTCAACCACAGAAAGGCAGGAAGCTTACAATTCATGCAGGGCCTGATGAAAGCCTACATAATTCCCACTACCCATGGGAACATGAACCCAAACTGAAAAATTAACATTAAAATTTTATTCTGGACCAGAGAAATCCCTAGAGCCTTCCTCAGAGTAAAATGTGACTCTCCTCCATATGGATACCTCCACAACTGAGAATATGCAAAACTAAATGCGGAAAAAACTCCCATAGTAATGAGCTCACAGTCAAAACTGGAGAGAGAGAGATCAAAGTGAAGAGTGAGGCTTGCATGGCGAAGGCGATGGACACAGTTCTGAGAGTGTTCCAACATACATGGTGCTCTGCCCTCTTCAGTATCCTGGTGGCTTGTTCAATAAGATTTAAAATTAAAAGCAACAGACATCAGAAAAATTTAAGAAGAAAAAGAAGTCATAAAAGACACAACTTGAAATGTATGCAATGAAAAATTATAACTAGCGAACTTTTAAAAATTCAGCCAACAGATTACATAGAATAACCATAATGAAACAGAAAATTACGTACTAGAAGATAAATATGGAAGATACAGAAACCTAATATAAGAAAAGTTAAGAGACATATTGGGTTGTCAGAAAAGTCATGACTCATGTTTGCAACAGATGGCACTAGTTCATTTTTGGAAGTACTAGAGTCGTTCGCATCTATGTTATTACTATGTCATTTGACAGCTGACAGTTCCAGCTTCATTCTAAAAAATAATTGAGCAATTTGGTTGAGTTTTGGAGATTTTACAAGTTGAAGATGGAAGACCAAACTGTGCATTTTTGCCATATTTTACTGTTTTACTTCCATAAAGAGAAGAATGCGTGTCAAGCTTGTGAAAAGTTGCATAAAGTTTATGATGACAATGCTCTACAAGAACGTCAGTGCCAATGATGGTTCATGAAATTCCATGCTGGTGATTTTGATCTCAACGACGCTCCTCAGTCAGGGAGGCCCACCGAGGTCAATGACGACAAAATAAAGGCATTGATCGAGTCAAACCCACGTTACAAAACACAAGAGATTGAAGGAACATTGAACATCCATCATTCAAGCATTCACGACCACCTGAAGAAGCTGGGATATGTAAGCAAACTTGATATTTGGGTTCCACATGAACTCAGAGAAGTTCATTTGCCAATGTGTATAAACACCTGTGATATGCTCATTAAACGTGAGGAAAACAATCCTTTTTTTGAAGCGACTGATAACTGGTGATGAGAAATGGATTGTTGACAACAATGTGGTGCGCAAATGGTCTTGGTCCCGATGTGATAATTCGCCTCAAACAATATCGAAAGCAGACATTCATCAGAGGAAGGTTATGCTTTCAGTGTGGTGAGATTTTAAAGGTGTCGTGTTTTTCAAGCTCCTACCAAGTAACCAATCAATTAGAATGTGTACTGTCGGAAATTGGATAGTTTGAATGAATCCATCATCCAGAAACATCCAGAGCAAGTTAATTGTAAAGGAGTTGTGTTCCATTGCAACAACGTGAGACCACACACAAGATAGATCAACTGTCAGAAATTATAGGAGCTTGGATGGGATGTGTTGCTACACCCACCATACTCGCCTGACCTTGAGCCGTCAGACTTCCACTTGTTTCACTCTCTTCAAAACTCCTTGCATGGTATAATGTTCAATTCAGATGAGGCTGTAAATCAGCACCTTGTTCAGTTTTTTGCAAATCAAGACAGGTCCTTCTATAAACGAGGAATTATGAAGCTCACTGAAAGATGGCAAAAGGTTATCGAACAAAATGCACAATATATCATTGATTGATCTTTGTTCTTTATATAAATAAATGACCTTTGAAAAACATAGACAAAATAACTCATGACATGTCTGACAACCCAACAGAAGAAAGAAGAAAGAGAATGGGGAAAGGGAAATATTTTAAAGGCCATGGCTGAGAATTTTCCAGAATTAAAGAAAGACATGAATTGAAAATGTTCCAAGTATGATAAATAAAAATTAATCCACATCTAGAATTTTACAGTGAATGTCAACAACAAAGAGAAAATCTCTAAAACTACAATAGAGAAAAAAATGATCTACAAAGGAATAATAATTAGAACAACAGGCTTCACAGCAGTAGCAATAGATGCCAGAAGTGTAATATCTTTGAAGAGCTGAGGGAAAATTACTGGTCATCTACAATCCTATATCTAGCTAATCTATCATTTAATAATTGAGTGAAGATGCCCCCCCAAAAAAAGAGAGGCAGTTTCATACAAAGTCAGAGCTCACTACTTGCAGAGCCTCACTGAAACCCGTTACTAAAAAAAGTTGTTTAGTAAGGAGGAAAATTAAGCAAAAAAATATAAGGTAAAGCAAGAAGCAGGTGAGTAAAAACAATGATATTATACCTTAATGGACTTTAAATATCTAGGGAAAAAAACACACCACTATTCATTAATATCTAAGAATAACCAGCAAAATTAGGGAATCTACCCTAGATTTCATCTAGGAAGAATGGGGTAAAACATTTGATAGAGCAAGTTTAAAAGAACAATAAGAATAAAGTTGCTTCCTGTTTGCATGCTGAGACTGGTTTAGTCAATAAACTCGTTAAAATGACTAATTTTTTGGAAGAAAATGAAAAAAACAAACCCCACAGTTTAATTTAGTATTTAACAATAATTTAGAATACGGGAGATGGGAACTTAGAATTAAAGTAGTTAAAGCCCTTTCTTTTTCAGAAAGATGATAGAAAAAAATATAAATGCTTATGAGATATAATATCTAATGGGGATATCCAGCAGGCATGTGTGTGGTGAAAGCTACAGGAGAGACCTTGGCCGAAGGTACAGATTTGGGGATCTGTTGAAGCCTGAGCGTGAATGAGAAAACCCAGGAAACCATGAAGCATGAAACATGAAAACAGAATTCCAGAAAATTCCGTACTTCAGGGGAAAGAGGACCTCAAATGATACAAAAGGAAGAGTCAGAAAGTTTCAAGATGATAGGATATATGAACAATGTAAAAAACAACAGCAATCCCTGACAATTCTTAGAGCTCCAGAGCTGGGAGGAAGAAGCCAGCAGAGAAAGACAAATTAAAGAGCAAGTTGAGAGGAGAATTACGGGTCTAGGAAAAGATAACATAGGACACACTTATTGAGGAGAAGATAATTTGGTACTCTGTAAGAAATAAGTGATCCGGGGATGAGTGAAAGTTATTTCCAATAGATCCTTAAATTAATAGTTTACCTGTAACATCTGTCAGTGAGTGGAGTAATAACCAGCCTCGGGGAATTACCCAGATATTCATATCCATACCGTAAGCCAGCATTAATCATCTTCGTTTCTAAATGATTTTCCTAGGATACGTCAGGAAAAATAAAATTAGCTTAAATAATAGAATTTTAAATAATATGAAGACTCAAGCTCTTTTATAAATAATAGACATGTTGTAGACAACATCTTTAAAATTCACTTTTCAGACATCATTTAATTCAGTAGAAGAATTCAATATCTAATTTCCCTGGCTAAGTAATTGAAGTAACTGGCTTCAATTTTTTCTATAGAATATCTTTGGAAAATATATTTGTTTCTTTTTTTAAAATATATTTGTTTCTTATCTCTCCTATCTTTTCATTTTTTTACTTGCTAACACCTTTTTATTTTTATTATTTTTTTTTAGCTGAGCCATCCTGCTACCTGTTGACAGCTCAGCGGCAGCTCAGCTCGGGCAGTGAATCAAACCAGGGACCCTGTTGCTCAGAGCTCAAACTCTTGAGCGAGCTCTTAACCAACTGAGTCACCCGGCCGGCCCCTGCTAACACCTTTTAAAATTTTTTTTTATTAAGGTATAATTGAGATACAGCTTATAGTAGTTTCACGTGTACAATATGATGATTTGATATTTGTGTATAATTTAAGCAGCAAACTATTTTATTAATTAAATCAACTAATTAAATCATGCTATTTAAGTAAAAATATTATTTGTATATTTTGTGAAATGATCACAACAATAAGTCTAGTCAACATCCATCACTATACATAGTTACACAATTTTTTCTTGTGATGAGAACTTTTAAGATCTACTCTCGTAGCAACTTTCAAGTATGCAATACAGTATTATTAACTGTAGTGGCCATAATGTACTTTACATGCCCATGACTTATTTTATACCTGGAAGATTACACCTTTTGACGCCCTTCACCCATTTCTCTCCCTACTCCCACCCACAGTCTCTGGTAACCACCAACTTGTTCTCTGAATCTATGAGCTTTTTTTTTTTTAGATTCCACATATAAATGAGATCACATGGTCTTTGTCTTTCTCTGATTATTTCACTTATTTTATTGTGAAGGCACAATATCCTTAACATCCATCCATGTTGTTACAAATAGCACGATTTCATTGTTTTTTATGGTTGAATAATATTCCAGTATATATATATACATATATATATATATATAATGGGATATATATCACATTCTCTTTATCCATTCATCTATTAATGGACATTTAGGTTTTTTCTATATCTTGGCTATTGTAAATAATGCTGCAATATACATGAGGGTGCTTACATTTTTTTGGGTTAGTGTTTTTATTTTCTTCAGATAAATACCCAGAAGTAAAATTGCTGAATCATATGGTAGTTCTATTTTTAATTTTTTGAGGAACCTCCATACTATTTTCCACAGTGGCTGTAGCAATTTACACTCTCACCAACAGTGCAAAGAGTTCCATTTTCTCCTTTTGTCTTTTTGATAATAGTCATTTTAACAGGTGTGAAGTGGTATCTCATTGTGGTTTTGTTTTGCATTTCACTAATAATTAGTGATGTTGAACATGTACCTGTTGGTCATCTGTATGTCTTCTTTGGAAAAATGTCTATTCAAATCCTCTGCCCATTTTTAAATCAGACTGTTTTGCTATTGAGTTGTATGAATTCTTTACATTAATATATTTTAGGTATTAACTCCTTATCAGATACGTGATTTACAAATATTTTCTCACATTCAGCAGGTTGCTTTTTTATTTTATTGACAGTTTCCCTTGTTGTGCAGAAGCTTTTTAGTTTGGGGCCAGTACTCCTGGTGACCAGCTTCAGACTGAGCCGGAGCACCACCAGGCACCCTCCACAGATGACACACCCGAAGGGCAGACTGGGCAGACACCAGAGCCCACTAAAATGAATCCTGCTTTGTATGATCAGGCCCTGCACAACAGCTCCTCCACTATAGTCACTGCCCGTCCTCACAACCAATCAGTTTGAGGGTCAATCCCTCCTATTGACATGCAAACAGCATGTCAAAATAAAACCCTTACATGAGCTGCCTACAAGAGACGCACTTCAGATTGAAAGACACACACAGACTGAAAGTAAAGGGATAGAAAAAGATATTTCTTGAAAGTGGAAATGAAAAAAAAAAAAAAGCTGGAGTAGCAATACTTATACCAGACAAAATAGACTTTAAAATAAAGGCTATAACAAGAGACAAAGAAGGACCCAGTAATCCCACTTCTAGGTATTTATCCAAAGAAACCCAAAACACTACTTCAAAGGGACATACGCGTCCATATGCTCACTGCAGCATCTTTTACAATGGCCAAGATGTAGAGGCAGCCTGGGTGTCTATCAATGGATGAATGGATAAAGAAGAGGTGGTTCACATACACAATGGAATATTACTCAGTCATAAAAAGAATTAAATCTTGCATCTGCAACAACATGAGTGGAACTAGATTATATTGTGCTGAGTGTAGTAAGTCAGACAGAGAAAGACAAATGCCATATGATTTCACTTACATTTGAAATAAAAGAACAAATTAAACGAACAAACAAAACAGAAACAGATTGATAGATACAGAGAACATTTTGATGGTTGCCAGATGGGAGGCGGGTTGGGAGGATGGGTGAAAAAGATGAAGGGATTAAGAAGTACAATTGGTAGTTACAAAATAGTCATGGGGATGTACAGTATAAGGAATATAGTCAACAATATTATAATAACTATGTATAGTATCACTCCATTCAGCCACCCTATGTCTAGTTTTATGGGGTGATCACTTCATAAGTTATATAAATGTCTAATCACTGTGTTGTACACCTGAAACTAATATAATATGGTATGTCAACTGAAATTAAAAAAAAAAATGAGTTATTCAGGGTCTTTTTTTTTCTATATCAAATCCACTAACGCTTTAATGACCAAAGCAAGTCACGTGGCCAAGCCCAATGGCACAGGGAAATATACTCCACTTCCTTAAATAGGAGGCAAGTTGCATGGCAAAAGGAGCAGATATATAATTCTGTTACAAGGAAGAATGGCGATTCAGGCATTTTTGTTGTCCCATGCCAATTTTAGGATTGTTTTCCTATTCGGTGAAAAACACAATTGGAATTTTGATAGGAATGCAATGAATCCATATATTGTTTTGGGTAGTATGGACATTTGAACAATATTAATTCTTCCAATCCATGAGCATGAAATATCTTTTCATTTATTTGTGTCGTCTTCAATTTATTTCATCAATATCTTACAGTTTTCAGTGTACAGGTCTTTCACCTTCTTGGTTAAATTTATTCCTCGGTATCATATTCTTTTTGATGCAATTGTAAATGGGACTGTTTTCTTTATTTCTCTTTCCAATAGAAAAGAGAAATTATTTTATCATTATTCTGTAATTATCAATAATTATTGTGCTCCTACATTTTCAATCATTCGTTTGATTTATTTTCACGATAGAGTGGGGTATTATCATTATCACCATTTTACAGATGAGGACATTGACGCTTAAAGAGAGTGTGCCCAAGTCATACTTCTGGTAAGAGGAGGCTCCAGCATTTGAAACAATGATTCCACAGGCTGAGATCCTAACCACTATACACACCGCTTCTCACATGGTTTTCCAGGGTTCTGGTTCTTGTATCTCCTCTCCTCTTCCCCCATACCTCCCCAGCCTTTCACAAAAGTGAATGAGAACTTTAGAGTCCCTATCTCCAGTCATGAGCTCTCGCTTCCCATTCTCAACAGGCCCAACCTTGCCCATTGTACTGACTGGTCCTGCTCCTCCTCCCTTCTCACTGGTGACTGCTATCACCATCCCCCTGGATTCCCCGACAAAAACCTTCCTTCCAGATCATGTTTCTGGTTCCTTCAACTGATCAACAAGAGAAAATTTTAATGACTAAATCATACTAAAATATAGTCTGATTTGCACGTTCTTTAGATGTATCAGGAATCGGTACATGCTACTTTAAACTGACTAGTTTCGACATTTTGCAGATTCAGCAAGCATAATGATTCATTTAAAATGAGTAATTTTTTTAATAATAACTCATAATTTGTGAGTGACTGTATGTGTTTACGTGTTTCTAGGTGACTATACATTTGGACATGGATTGGGCTATAGATATAGATACAGTTTTTGTATGGATGATACACTTGCAGATGTCATTTTTGTCTGCCTTAATCTTCAGTCTGGAGGATGCTTGCTTGGGTATAGTCAGTCATCAGCAAAAAATCCTATGCTACTGATACTGCTTCCCATGTGAGCCAGCAAGCGCAAATGAAAAAACTATGAGCTGAAATTGCTGTGCAATAACATGCAGTGATATCACTTACTTGCCAATAGTACCTAAGCTGGCTTAACCATTCGAAGTCAGAGTCGTCAGTAACTCTTTTATTAACAAGTGATGCGAGGACATCTCTCGCATGAACATCCAGCACCACCAGGGCTCCCAGAGTCACACGGTTCTGCTTGGACAATTTTCCACGGACCAAGGTGACAATATCATCAATTTGCTCATTACATTTTTCCAAGTATTGCTCCAGAGCCTGAAAGAAAATAAAATATGATTAGCTAATGTGATCAGAATCCTTTTGAACAAAAACACTTAGCATGTATACAAAGTGTTTTCTACATTTTCATCATAATTTTCCACATGACATAATTTTAAAATGATTCATTTTCTTAACCACAAAGATATTAGGTGAACCAGCCCCAGATGACCATATATCGTGGACATATGTGGTTTGTGTATACCCAATATCCTGTCCTTTCCTATTGGCACTCCTCTGTGCTCTGTGGTTCTTTTCAGTAGCCTTAGTAGACTCTGAGTGTGCCAATATGAAGCTATCGCAAGCCTACATCCCCATGGCGGAATAAAGCCTGCCAGAGACTTGTAGAGATGAAAGACAGACAATTAAAGAGACCACAGCACCAATAAAGCCCTGAGATTCTGATTCCAACTGTTCCTTCTTGGATCCCACGAGTCCTTCTAATAATCTTGTGTAGGACTTCTGAGTAGGATTTGTGCCACTTGAAATGTAAAGATCTTAATAAACAAAATATCTAACATTTTAGTTTATGGTGAGTGAATGCCAATTCTAAGGACCAGGCTTACTTTGGGGTCTCTTTTCTGGTGGGTAAATCCAATTAGTAAGACAAAAAAGAGAAGGTTAATGAAAATCAAATTAGAATCAATGAAAACTGGTGTGCTTAAGGGAAGTGTTGATATGCCCCAGCAGGCTGATGTGGTCACTTTCTTGACTCTAATAATATTTAATAAATATTATGCACTAATGAGTTTTTTCCACTCCTTTAGGGCCAGGTGAGTGTGGTAGCAATGAAACTAAAAGTGAGGATTTCCAAGAATGAGAAAAAGTTTAAAGGATAGAGTATTAGGACAGCAAGTTGTTTCTCTAAGGGGTACTTTTCTTATTCCCTGACATATTTTATCTTTTTTTGTTTTTAAGGTAGTCATTTTTTAAAAAGTTTGGTCCTTGAACACTATTTCATTTATATGATTTACATGATTAATTGCTATTAATTTGCTTCGTAAATAGTGAAAAATAAACTTCTGTTCCACCCATGTTTAAATAACCATAAGTGTTTCAATTCTTGGAGCCAATAAGTGAATTTAAGCATATTGAGTATATAAATTAGTAAGAAGAGTTTTGATCCTAGGGACAGAAGCTATGCCAGTTGGTGCATCTTAGTTTCCTCATCAGGAAAAGTGAGATCTCTGAAAGCCTTAGCAGTTCTCACATTCCGTGGTTCAACACAAGACATTTAAAAATTGTAATGTTTGGACCTGACCATACAAATTACATGTCCAGAAGCATTTGTTACTATTTATACTAGCAGAATGTATTTTCCTATACTAGAAAAACAGATTTAGAAGTAAAATTTGGCTTCAAACCATGGTAAACTGAGTTCTTTAGGAACTATATTATATGAATGAGAATTCAGATAAGCTAGATAGAAAAAAAATCATGATATTTTGTTACATTTTATTCCTTGTAAACCATTCTATATAGTGAGCTAATGAATCCAAATGTAACTACCATCATATTCAGCCAAAATAAACCCTATCTGGAATCAAATATTTCTATTATATCTAGATCCTTCTACATATACAATGATACACTGACTCAAATTTACATCAATATTTGCAATATCCTGAGTTCTGTGTCAGCAGTGATTCTTTCATTCATTTTATCGCCCCTGTAATGCCTCAAATGGACTAGTTCTACAATCAACATTCACTGAATAAATAAGTGGAAAAAAATATATCCTGAGGGGAACAGGTCCTCTGGGAGTGTGACGGTATAACAAGGTGCTATTATAACATCAAGCTCCAAACAACTTGGGATGTCTGCAGAGAATGGAAGCATCCAGTTGTGTAAAAGGCTGCCAAAAGTCTCCAGCTGCTCAACCAAAGTCATCAGCTTCAAATGCGAGCCACACATTAATTAGGAAAAAAAATTACCAATACGTAGAATACAAAAACATATGCTAGCCTCCCATGATAGAACCACAGGCAGCAGATGAAGGGCGTACTTGAAGCAGGATAATCACAAGCAGATCAAAAAGAAAAGAATTAATTTTAAGGGCACATATTAAGCTTAATTTCATACCATAAAACAGCTATGAAAGCACCATAAAACACAACAGAGGAGGGCAATCAGGCAAGGTACAATAACAAAGGCTTGCTTGCTAAATCTTGCTAAGCTACCACTTCAGGGAACCGGAGTCTACAAAGCTGAGTCACCCGCGAGGCACAGTTCTCCATTTTGGCATTCTTGTGAATGTCTCCATATCTGCACCATATTATGTGAGTGGGGAAAAAAATTGAATGGACTAACAAATGAGTAAATAAATAACTCCATCTCAGTATCAGTGGATACTGTTGTAAACCAAGAAAATTATTTGTGTCTATACTCAATATGGTAAGAATTACAGAGTTTTAAGCAGAGGGCACATTGAAAAGGGAGTGACCTAAATTGTGTGTCCTTTGAGATTCAAACTATGCTTGGGAGTTAAGTAGAAACATAAATGGATTATAGTTTATTTACACTTTAATGCTCTACCTCAATTCTTATGTGTTCCAGCCTTCTTGGAGTAAGACCAGAAAAAAAATATTGTTTTGACAGAGGGGTCGAGGTTTGATACACACTACATGTAAACTGAAAAAAATTGGATGATGCCTACAAATTTGGCTGATTTGCCCATATTTACTTCTTTGTTTTCTCCAGACTATTTCCCCCATATGGGGTGAGTAATGAAGTTGGTGATCTGGTGGAGGGGGGAGAGCAAGCAAGGAGGGAGACCCAGGAGGCTACATGTCCCTCCAGAAGTCCCACTGGTGATGGAGGAATCCCTCTGTGTGATAAGGGTGGTTAGTGGTAGCTTAAAAATAAGAAAAAATAAAACGAATACTCTAGATCCACTGAGGAAAAGGAAAAATGCACATGGTGGTGAGACAGCCAACAGTCCAGCGGTAACCCCAAGGAAACCTTCATTCCCCAGTGCTCTAAAAATCCCTGCCTTCCTGCACTATGCCCTATCCCCTCCCACAGAGGAGAAATAAGTGACCTGTTGGTAAGCTGGAGTGAACTAAGCATGGGATCTGCCTGCTTACAGAGATATGAGTCTCTCTCAAACTACAGCACTCACCAGTATTCAACAGTACCTTAGAGTTAAAGACAACAATGTCAAACGTCATGTAAAAAATATACTTCAAAGCTATGGTTTTAAACAAAAGGCCTACAAATTCTAAGTTCCATTTGGTCCATCGGTCAACTGAAAGTTGACTTACTTAAATCCCATCTCAAGGATAGGAATGCTACATTGAAAGTAGTTTCTGTTTTTAATTAATCATGGTAATCCAATTCACAATATTACTAAATTCATATATCCAATATATTAGAATATCTAAACTAAAGCATCATTCAAAATATTAATGATTGTTTATTCAAAAGCAATACATTAAAAATAAAGATAAAAATAGTTGAAATGAGTCAACAGATACCTTGTCTTCATAGGGTAGTTTTCCTCAAGACATAAAAAGAATTCTATTACGTTATTTCCTCCTACGCTTTCTGAGTTTAGGAAGTTTTTTAGTCCTATTATGACTTTATTTTTAAAGATACAGAAATGTATATAATAATAAGATTGAGACTCAGGTATCCTTGACTTTTTGAGTGGATTGTTTTTATATATAATAACTATTGAAAAAATGCCGACAAACCTGGGGCAATAAAAGCTTACCTTTTGCCCCACTGAAATAGCTGTGTGAACGTCTTTTGTCCAAAAGGTTTGGGATACACAGAGAACTGTCTGTCCAGGCCAATCCCTTACCCAGTCAATTCGTTCATATTGTGTATAGGCAAAAATTGCTGCTCTAATTACCTAATTGAAAAAGAAAATGCTAAAGATGAACATTTTCACACTTGAACATGCCATACAATGAAGAGCTAACCGCCTAAACAGATTAACTCATACTGCTCAACTTTGTATAACATCTTAGCCAATTAGGAAGACTCAAATCATGTGAAATTAGACTATTTAAATTCAAGTTTATTCATATAACTGTGAGTAAGACAATTATATAACATAGCATTGCATTTTGCTGATACATGATTAATTTGACTTGTGGCCAAAAATATCCTTGATTATCTGGATTGAACAGACACAAGCAATTTTACTGCAAAACATAAATTCAAATACTTCCAAAATGAGACCAATCAAATTCATGGATAACAATTTTCTTTGAACTTAATCAAATCCCCACTCAGCCATGTGCATGTCTGTACATGCACACTCAGACAAGCCACATAATTTCGCTAAAGTTCTTCCTGTGTTTGCAGATCTCACTCCCTCTCAATTCCGTAGTTTGATGCCCAAGGCAATGATGACAGGGACGAATATATAATTCATTCAAAGAGACTTGAAAGTTGTAAAATCAGGAAGTCTAATTCATGTACTTCGCTATATATGTTTTCAGTGGACTGATATATCCACTTTCTATCAGCCATTAGTGGGAAATATTCTAATCTGTTATATGTATCAATAAAAAAATAGTAACATCGCCTGTGACGTTCTACCCACTTTAATGTTTGAATTGCAGAAAAAACACTGTCAAAATTAGATTGTTTTGAGAAATCTTGGGTTGCTGGAAAAGTCATGACACATTTTTGCAACAAAAAACATAGAAAAAATACGTCATGACTTTTCCGACAATCTAATATATAAGGACAAGTGAATCTTTCTGGATTTCTAGTCTAGCTAGTATGTCTAAGGGGTTGAACAGAGATGAAAGACACTGTTGCTGTTAACAATAAAGAAAATTTAAAAGGCCAGGGCAGCCTTCAAGCTATAATTGAATTGGTAATTCATGACTCAATTTCTGTCTAAATAACAGTGCATTTATCAATGACACATTAACATTCTAACATCTTTTCTCAAAATAATAATAAATACAGTTAGCTACCTTGTGGATGGATTTAATCATAACTCTCTCTAACTCAACCAACCACTTCTCCACTTGACCTCTGGCTTTGACTGTTGAAATGGTCTCTATGAGTTCCACAACCTCTCCTTCGCTGCTCTTCATGTGAGTAATGTCTAAAATTTCTGAAAATTGTAACTTTGCAATTCCCTCAAAACATTTCTTTAAGTGAGGTTGCACCCTGTCAGGAAAAAAAATAAATGTTTAAGAGAATTAACCAAATTAAAGCAATTCTTTAAATGTTAGTGTTCTTTGTGCACCCATCTTCATTCAAAATTTATAAATGTGCATTATATGTTAGGCCCCTACTAGATGCTGCTGGAGATAAAACACTGAGAGAAAAAAAAAGACACAATCCCTGCCTGCATGGATTATACAGTCCAGTGGGGAGGTCATCATTAATTCAATAATCACAAAAAGATCTGTAAAATTATAATTATAGTAAGAGCTACAGAGGAGGCATCCATGAGGCTTTGTTTCCAAAACAATGAACTGAAAGATTTAAAAGTAACATAAAGAGTAAATGAATCTTGACTAACAGGTAATATACTGATCTGAAGAGTCTTCAAAAACACAAAAGTAGCCATTTCAACTGGGATCTTCAGAGGCTACTTGCAAATTATGAACTAGGTTTAGTGCTTTAAGTACTTTACAGTTTACTAAATCAACTGGTTTGAAGCAATCCAACTTTAATCTTTTCATTGTAATATATTTGGAACTGACTAAACCCCTCATTTTTGGCACATTACCAATAACCAATTGAATGTATCTTTCAAAAAAGAAGCAGAGTATAAAAACTCAGATGTAAATCTGAGCCTAAATTGATCTTTTTGTCTGGATTACTTGTCTCCTATTTTGAAGGCACAAGACACAAAATTAATTAATTTGTTTAACAAATATCTATTCACTGTTGTATACTAGATATTCTAAGGAATCATGACTCAGCACTGGGGAAAAAGCAGTCAAAAATCTCTTCCATAACTAGAGGAGATCAAACAGTAAACAAATAAAATACATTATAGAATAAGACAGGTGATAAAAAGTATGCCGAAGGAAAATAAGGCCAAGTAGGTAAACCAGGAAAGGTGGCTAGGGAGTGATGGAAGGAGTTGCCATTTTAAATAGAGTGGTCAGAAAAGGCCTCCTAAGTGGCAGATATTTAGCAGGTTTCCACAAACACCTACAGAAGTAAAAGAAGTCTTATGGATATGTGGATAAGAGAACATACAGATATACGGATATGCAAAGAGAACAGTATACTGAGGGAGGAGGCTGCCCCTTTCATGGGGGAATTGCAAGAACTGTAGCCAAGTGAGCAAGAAGAACAACTAATGGGAGATGAATAGGAAGGAAAATGGAGGCCACCTGCATGTCATTGCAAGCCACTAACTTTTACTCAGAATGTGATTTAGAAGAGCGATGCGCTCTGAAAATATCTATAAGGAATATGTGATAAAATAAGAAATCCACTCCAAGAGAGTCATCACATTTGGGAAAATATAATTCAATGATATTACTTATGTTTTTAATAATTATATTGATTACTGATAATATTTACAAGTCTTTAAAAAGTTGTCACATAGATATAATTATATATCTAGATATAGATAAATGTTCTGCCTTTTTCTAGAACTTAAATTTAGGCAGATAAATTCAGCCATGTGTTATATATGTAAGTTACTTACCTAGTGGGATCTTTAGTCTCAGATAGTATCTCAAGCAGTTCATCATTAGACAAGAAAAAGAATCTGGGGAAGAACAGACGTTTCTTTTCTAAATATTCATTAAGTCCTTTAAGAATAAGTTCCAAAAGTTCATCAGATTTTTTCAGCTTTTCCAGCATTCTCTCAATAGTTACAACTGTCAGAACATGTTTATCCTAAAAATAAAAGAGAAAAAACACTGAACTCAAAAATATTAGATGCTAACTTTATTTATATTCATATTACATTTGAGGTTACATGTTTCAATCAAACAAAAGTTATGCAAAATTTAAAGTGAATATTTATTTTTTTAAAAGCAGTATTGCCTAGTCAATGCCTCTTTATGTAAAAGTCATGTTGACTTGATCCTCAGCTATGTTGTTCACAAGTTCTCATTCTAAATTGGAAAGTGTGAAAGACAGAAAAAGAGCAAGGGGACGAGGGGGATGGAGGGAGAGGGAGAGCTGGGGGAGAGGGAGAGAGGGAGAGAGAGAGAGAGAGAGAGAGAGAGAGAGAGAGAGAGAAACACTGAACTTACAAGGATAGGGAAAACCAAAATAGTATGAGATATGTTTGTCC